TTTCAAAATATAAGACAACATTTACATGCCCACAACATGAGCTTGTGTTCTGTGTGTTTGTACTATTAGAACCATGGTTTTCAAAATCGGACCGGATTGGATGGTCAGATTAGAAAAACCGGGAATCGTGACCGGTTCCATTTTTCCCCAAAGCTGGACATTTGCAAAAAAACATTGATTTGATCAACAAACCGTTGACCCAGGTGGTTGAACCGTTCTAACCATTCAATGGTTTTAACCATTTTTTGATTTTTTTTTGTCAGAATGGACCGACCTTTCGAACCGAATGATCAGACTGTTCGACCCGGGAACCGAACCCCTGACTGGTTCGGTCTCCGGGTCGATTTAAAAACCTTGATTAGAGCTTTTAGCTCATCAGAACACCTACATGTTAATACTTACTTTGGCTTCACGTCCCTCCTCACCCCTTCTTCTATTTGTTTTCTTTTTATAGATAATGCCAAAATCTGTACTGTGATTCAATTGCCCATTTGTTACGAGTTTTCTATCTCTATCCCTTATCTTTTTTCCATCAAAAAATAAAAAATCTGTCCCTTATCTCTAGTTGTTTTATAGGGCTTATTGTAGGAATTTTTTTAAGAAAAAAAAAGGAAATTTTATTAATGAGAAAGTAGGAGGGGGACATGACCTGACCCCTTATCTAGGCTGTGATTGGTTTGAAAGAAAAGGTACCAAACACGGCTATGGGTGTCAATGGGAATGGTTTTGGATTGGACCCATCCAAACCAAAATCAATTTGGATGATGGGACGGAATAAGACACATTGAATTGGACCAGTCCAGACTTAATGGTCCAAAGTACTTATTGGATTAGATTGGACCTGGTCCGTCCGTAATGAATTTATATTGGATTGGGTTGGATTGAGCCAATATCTGGTCCATTGATAGAAGATAAGAATATAGGTGTCAATGGACCAGATTTGGGATAGAGATAATCTAAATTAAAACAAATTTGAACAGATGCGGTGGTCCTGACAGTGAATTGGGCCGACCCAAAATGGTCCAAAATATTCATTGGGTCGCATTGGACCTGGTCTATTTGTAATGGACTCATATTTGATTAGATCGGATTGGAACAAATCCAGTCCAATTGACACCCCTAAACACAGCCTTAGAGCTAACACTCTTAAAAACTAATGAAATGTACTAATCGTAGTTAGGATTGAATCTTTTATAGGGGATGATCATGGGCTGGGTTGGGCTGCGCTTACACCAGCGAGTAGGGCTATAGCCTGGGCCTGACCTGGACCCTGGGCTTAATTATAAGCCCGAGCCTGGGCTGGGCTAGGCTGGGTTTCTGTTAAACAGTGTAGGGTTTTGATTAGATTAATGCGTTCTCAAGGAACTCGCAAGTCACAATACCTTTGTTGAGCAACTCGTGGGATCGTATTTTGGCATCTATGGGTAAGAGAATGAGGTGGTGTGATTTATCCATGGTGGAATCCTAGGTCATATTTGGTTCAATTTTAATTATTGCTCATTCTTTTCAATAATAAACCAACATGAATGGAAATGAGTAAATGAGAAAATATTGCTATGTACTAATTAAATATATTTTTTTCAAAAAAAAAATAAATTCTTTTTGTGGCAAGAATGAGATTGTTTGACTACAATTTTTTTTTTCATTTTTTATCAACCAAAATAATAATATAGGTATACATTTAATACTCATTAGTAGATATATAGTGGAAACATGCAGGACCCACACCAACAAAACACAACACAAATTGTAAAATTAAAAATAAAATTAATAACATGAAGAAGTAAAAAGTGTCTAAAAATTTCATCAAATTGATAATACTATATTTAATAAAGATAATATAAAAAGAAAGTCATAAAATATAATAAAACATCAAAAAAATCATGCTTCATATTGCTCATTTTTTTGAGACCTTGCCGTCATAGAGTTTCATTGAAAAATGAAAATGAGCAATATGGGGCACCACTATTTTTGGAGCTGCAAGTTGGCTCAAATTTTATGCCTTGGACTCATTTTCCATTTTAAAATGAATGAGACCCATGGCAAGAATTTTGTAGTTAAATGCTCTTATGTCTTCATTCTTGCCTAAAATGAGTAAGAATTGAAATAATGAGGCTGCAAACCAAACATGACTGTAGTTGTGGGTTCTTTGTTTATTTTATTATTATTTTCTTTTCTTTTCCTATTCTTGATCTGCAATTAGAAGGGAAAAGTACTTTGCAGCTCACTGCAGAATTCTGAATTACAACCCCCATAGTCTACTTGTAGCCCCCACCCTATGAACTGCATCTTGCCCGTAGATTTGGCATCAATCTATGGTCAAGATTCATCCCCTTGTGCAGTGGGGCTAAAGAATTCTGAGCCGGACTGATCAGTCATTCTCCCCAATTAGAATATCATTCAGAAATTACACTCTTCATAAAGAGTATTACTTTATCCCTCTCCCCCCCAAAAAAAAAATTAATAATAATAATAAATCGGAATATCTTGTAGAGAAATCCTAGGTTTCTTCTCCTTTGGCACGTAGTGTCTTGTAAGGTTGGCTGGTTTTCTCAGTGCATTGAGCCATCAAGTCATCAACCCTTGTTTTTGTGGCCATTTGTATGAAGGGCTGAAGGCTTGAAAGTGACGACAGGTCAAAACCATTAAACATTCAGATATGGAGACTTGTAGTTTGGGGTACGTATTTCACTTTAGGGCCTGCACTTTCAGATGTGTCTTTTAAGTGTCTAATCTTTCAGAAAAATATATTTAGGCCTCGTTCGCTTTTCGGTATGTTACTTACCCGGGTTAATGCGGTTACTTGGGTAAGTTTTTCCTGGGAAACACTTACCCGGGTAAGTGCATTTACTCATGTTCTTTTATTTTTTATTTGTCATATAAATAAGGCAATAACCATTTTAGTCATAAAAATCCATTATTAAAAAGAGCATTGTTGTCCCATTCAAGTGTTGGCAACTTCCCCCTAGGTGGGAAAGTTATTTACCCACCTAGGAGATGAGTATCACTTACCCAGGAAAGTGATACCCAGGAAAATAAACTTTGCCTAGTCCCCACATAAATCTGAGAAAAAAACATGGGGTTCTTGGACCAACTTTCCCCCCTCTCAAAATCCGAAAAAGTACACCCCCTTAATTTTACAACGAAAATGCCAATATTATGATAATCTTTTTTTCACTGTTCATACTCTTCTACCTTCAGACTCAGATGCAAACCAGAATTATCATAAAGGGCCCAACTCAAGTGTGCTTTGGCAGTCAACTATGAAAATGCAATTTCTGGTTTGCGTCCAAAGTCCAAAGGTAGAAGATGATGAACAGTGAAAAAAGAGAATAAGAATATGTGCATTTTTTTTATAATTTCCCCCTCATTGTAATCCGAAGCTTATTTGAATGTTCAGGCGAAAGTGAAACAAGAATATGTATCAATGGACCAAAAATATCCACAATTTAGCCTATATTTTATGTGGTCTATCAATAATATATAACATAATATAATATAATATAATATAATATAATATAATATAATATAATATAATATAATATAATATAATATAATATAATATAATATAATATAACATATATATTATATATTATATTGTGGGTAGGGGTGTCAATGGACCGATTTTGGATTGGACCCTGTCCAAATCAAAATCAATTTGAACGGATTGCATTGGACCTAGTCCATCGGTGATGTATTTATATTGGATTGAACCAATATCAGGTCCATTGATAGAAGATAAGAATATAGGTGTCAACGGATCAAATTTTGATTGCAATAAATCTAAATTAAAACCAATTTCAGCAGATTGGATGGTCCAAAGTCTCCAAACATTAAATTGGACCAGTCCAAAATGATCTAAAATATTCATTGAATTGGATTGAACTTGATCCGTTTGTAATGGATTCATATTGAATCAGATCAGATTGGACCAAATCTGTCCAATTAATTTAGTGGGCTGGGTCGGGGTGGGCTGGAAATAGTCATCCCTAATCCTTTAGTTCTCAAAGACAATAGTTGCCTGTTGGCTTGAAATTAAAGCTGATTGCGAAACATGAGAAAGAAGCAAGTGATGAAGCTGTCTTACAAACTACCAAGATGGAAGTTCAAGTAGCGGTGGTGGCATAGATGCTAAAAACGAACTTCAGAAGTAAGGGGGCTAAAAATGGAAGGGAAGACTTAACCCAATTATAAAGTCTGAATAACATACATACCTGCATAGATAATAAATATAATTCAAATACCAAATTGAAATGTAACAAATAACAATTGTCACATACTTGATTAGGTGTTTAATGGTTAATTAGGTTTCAAATCTTATTAGAAACTTAATCTTATAAAATAAGGAGTTCTGTAACATGTTTAAAATTTTATTATATTATTTTATTATTATTGCATATATAAATAAGGGGTTTTTATGATTCAGTCCACCCCTAGGTGGAGCTAGGATTTCCTAGGGGTGGACTGAATTCTGACCGTGGACTGATGTCAAATTCACGGACAGGATGTGGTTTATAGGGGGGCCTACTAATAGACTAGGAGGGGGCTGCAAAAAAAAAATTCTGAAGGGAATTGCAGTCCAAAGATCCCTATAAACAATTGTATACATCAAAATTTATATAAAATAAAATTTTAATATCTTTTTTTTATTATTTATTTATTTTTTAAATTATGTTAAAATTTTCATTATTTTTTTTTCAAAATTTTTAAAAGCATGACTTGCCCCGATCTGCCATCCAGCCTATTCCAAGGCTTGGCTCGTGACACAGCAAAGGCCCACACAGACTTGAGCCATGGGCCGTGCCAAAACAATCCCCAAAGCATCCCAAGGGAGGGAAGCACGGCCTGGTTTGGCCCACAGGCTGGCCGGCCTAGCACGGCCCAATTTACACCTCAAAAGTCATACCCACTTAATGCATTAAAAAAAAAAGGAATATGGCGTATAAGACAAGAATAAATTGGTCTTATTACTGTTTCTGAATTCTGATGGCTAATTTAGCTCAAACATCTAAATATACCGAGATGAACATTTTTCTACAGTCCAGAATAGGGGCTAAAAAGATCAGGATCCCTGAGAGGCTCCTTCTAAACGAATGTAGTCATACATGATCCCATTGAAAGGGGTTGAATGTCTTGATTGAGTTAAAATGATGGTATTGTTTCCTCCTGCGACCAGCCATTCGCTCTCCACTGCAACGCTGAATAATCTGTACAATCCATGGATCCCATGTCTAGCAATGGCGTTGTCTTTGCCAATTAGCCCAGTACTAAAATGCGGAGGATTCACGTTTGGGTTGTTGAATCGAACCTTAGACCATCCAAGAAGAATTACCCATTAGATGTTAATTAAATAGGAAACTGATCAGAATAACAATATAATTTCATTTGCAGTTCTGGTGCAAAAAATCTGGAGTAGAGTAAAGCAAAATCTGGAGTAGAGTGAAACACTATGCATTCTTTTCATTTGCACACCCATGCATTTGTACTAATGCAGATGAAATTGCATTACAAACAGATGGAGCCTTACTTGCAGTTCCGATTCGGTTGCTGATGCAATTGCTAGCCTTAATGTATACGTTCCATTCTGCGTTTGGTTCATCTTTTCTAGTGTAAATAAAATCTGCCATGTCGTTGCTTGGTATGTGTTTTTCTCTGTCTTTCTGCAAAAGCAAGAACAGGAGGAACACTGAAGCGACCAAGAGAAGCTGGACGAATAAGAAGGCTAAAGAAGGGAAGGATTATCAAGTTATGAGGACTGGTTACCTGGTGACATGGGCGAAGAACCAATCGTTCCGGTAGTCGCTGCTATTGACCGTATAGATTAAATCTTCATGGGGATAGAAATCAGCATATCTCTCCCACAGTCCATACTGCCTGAACTTGTCAATGGAGGTTGATTTTATGTTATTTCTGCAGTCAATTTTTCTGGGTTTTAGAAATTGAATGGATCATCAATGAATTCAATCTCAACCGAAACAAAGCACAATCTGTAGTAAGCAAAATCCTGCCAAATTATTTCAACTACAACTAACCTCATCGGAATATCCACATACAGTTTGTTGACGTACTTTGGATTAGGATCAGGTACATAGAACTCAGATGCTGAACGGTCTGGGATACCTATCTCCCACAAGGTAGGGCCATCTCTTGGTGGTTTATATACAAGATCACCGAGACTAACATTGTTTCCTGATTCACATGTTGAGAGAAACCCATGAAAAAACTGCAGAGAAAGAGAGATCAGAGAAGCAATTAACATACAGAAAGAAATTAAGATTCAGACCTGGAGTTATGGTAATACTGAAATCATACTTGTAATCCCCGATAAATCCAGGAACCCATGCATAGAGATTATAGTCTCCAACCCGAATATCACGAATGGAGAAGGACCCATCAGCGCTGGCTCTAGTCCAGAACTGGTAACCCTGCGAAAGAGCGATGGCATGTGATAAGAAGATTAAGTGGTGACTGGTCGGATTTGGAGTAGGTTTATTAAGATCAACCTTGCATTCCCTTTGCCATGAACCCAGCTCTCCAGGTGGAGCCACCCCAACATAAGCAAATGCAGCTGATGAATTTTCTTCACTGATGTACCTATATTCACCTAAAAAACTTAGGATTTAAACTGAAAATGGTTGACATGATTGAAATTTCCGAGAGACCCACTTACCTATCTTGGACCAGTAATCGACCAGTAACAATTCCCCTTTGATAGGAAGAAGGAAAATCCTCTGATGCTGGAAAAGTATATGGCCAGCTTGCAATTTGGATTGACGCCTAATGAACAATTAGTACAATTACTTTAACTCTTGAAAATTTTTCAAGGGAAGGTTCTAACGTTTCTTGGTTGAGAAAACAGAAAAAAAAAGAAAGAAACCTGATATTTTGCATCTTCCCATAGTGACTGTAGATCCTTCCCAGGTGAAAGAGAGTTAAGATAGATAAAAACTGGGCCGAAAACTTTCTTCCATGGCTCTCCGTTTCTGAACATCGGGCCTGTATCCTCCCCAGAGTAGTGAGCGCTGATGAACATCTGAACAAGAGAAGTTAATTTAGTGGCCGTTTGGTATCATTTATTTTAATTATTTATTGAAATTTAAAATAAGTAGTGGAACCACACAAAATGACTGTAATAGCTTTTCCATATAGAGCAGTGTCAATGGACCGGTTTTGGGTTGGACCCGTCCAAATCAGAATCAAATTGGACGGATTGGACGGACCCCAATAAGGCATATTGAATATTTGAATTAGAATAGTCCAACTTGATGGTCCGAAGTATTTATTCATTGGATTGGATCAGATTGAACTATTATCCCATTTGTTGATAGAAGATAAAAATACATGACCAGGTTTAGATTGAAATAAACCTAAATTAAAACCAATTTAAATATATTGGACGACCCAGACATTAAAGTGGACTGATTCAAAATGATCCAAAACATTCATTCAGATTGGATCAGATTTGATCCATTTATATTGAATTTATATTGGATCCGATCAGATTATACCAAACCAACACCCCTACTTGATAGTCCCCAGTCTCAAGAGGAAGACGCTTACAGCAAGAGTGATTGGGCCCACATGAGAGGTGAGATCCTGCTTGAGAGGCCCGCCTGCTACAAACTCATAGCTCGGTGTAATCATCCAGAACCCGACTGGAGGATCGGCAGATATCCAACCATGAACTTTGTTGTCCTCCACATTGCATGAATACTGATATTTGTCATCCACCTGACATCATAGGATCAAGCAGTATAATGCATGGTGTTGAAAACTGGACCAGACGGTCAGACCGGTTAACCTGAGAACTGGTTAGGCAATTGGTTTTATTTCACTTTAAAATCGCTCTTGAGCCAAAAAAATCGTTGATTTGGTCAGTAATCTGTTGATTCGGGCAGTTGAACTGTAACCCAGATAATTTTTAGCTGTTTTTTGATTTTATTTTAAATTAAAATGGGCCATCCATTTGAAATGGATGATCCAACTGTTCGACCCAAAAACCGGTCCCCAAAACAGTTCTGTGTCCGATCCGATTTTTAAAACCTTGGTATAATAGAAATTTGATAAATGAGAGAATCGGATTTATCTTCTCTCTAGATTCTTTGATCCAAAGTCATGTCTGTTATTAGCTTTGGTTAATCCATCCAGAATCAATCATTCTTGCCTGAAAGAAGTCCGAACTCTGAAGGAATGATCAACCCAGAAATCGACTAAACCCAGTTTCATTAGACACTGGAGTCCATTTGTGTCTCTTTTTGCTTTCTTATTTTGTAATTTGTTAATTTTTTTTTTGTTTTTTATTCCTTGTGGGGTAAAAGAATTGGTGGAATAGTACCTCTCCCTTGAGGTCCGGGTTGGTTGGATTTGTCAAGAGAACTGCTTCTGGGTAGGCTAGGGGTTGACCCTTTGCTCGATCTTCTGGCATGGGCATCATCCTTTGTCTTGTGTCTGATAGGGCCATGTAATGAAACCTAACCATTTCACATACCAGAAGACTCCCCTCTTAGTTTTAGCAATTTTGAAAAGCTCAGGCTCTGTTTGGATAAGCTTCTGCTTTTTGATAATAGTTGCTTTTAAAAACATGCAGATACTTGTCTTGATTTTATTACACATGTGTGTAACAATATAAGTATGTATCCTTACATTAGTAATAGTCAAAAGATAAAACACTTTAAGCTTGAATAATCATAGAGCCTAAAACTGGGACTTTGTGCTTTAGAACTTTAAAAGCACAGATTTAGAAACTTATCTAAACACAACCTTAACTAATGATAACTGTATCTTCTCACAAGGAAAAAAATGTAAGATTGAAGATGGAAGATATTTTACTTGTCTTTCCGAAGCTTGAAAACTATCCTGGTTTCATTGATGTTGAAATCCGGCCATCCTTCTAAATGCTCGTAAATGGCATAGCAGTAGAGGCCGTGGATGCCATGCAGCATTATAAATCTGTGAGATTAAATTAAGCTGATGTTTAGTTAGAGTTCACATTTCTGCCCCACAAGTCTTACAGCACATCCCTACCGTGTATTGGAAACATCCTCCCGATGATGTCTTAGTTAATTATTTCTTTAAATCAAGTGTTAATATCTAAAAAGCAAGAAATACCTTTTATCTATATTCAAGGGAATGGCATTGCCCTGGAAGGAGTAATTCCATGTTCTTGTAAATGAAAGCTCAATCTGCTTCTCATTCTTCATTATAACCTTAAAAGCAGTTCCCTCCATCCTGCACATAAGTTGATGATGTCAGTGTTGTTTAGAAGACGATAGTATACAACTGAATTGCATAACGACATGGGGTGGGGACTCTGCAAGGTTTTAAAAATCGGACCGGATACGTAACTGTTTGGGGGTTAGTTCTTGGGTCGAATTGTCTGATCGTCCAATTTGAATAAATGGCCCGTTCTGACTTAAAAAATAAATGAAATGAAAGTCTAGATCGACAGGTCAATGGTTTGATTGCCTGAATCAATGGATTGCTAATCAAATCAACGAATTTTGATCAAAAAGTGGTTTTAGGGTGATACAAAACTGGTTACCTGATTGGTTCCTGGGTCAACCGGGCTGACAATCCAATCTGGTCTGGTTTCCAAAACCATGGGACCCTGTGTCATGTGATGGATAGGCTTGGGCCACTCATAGAGGCCCAACATACAATGCTCGGCCCACAAAAGCCAGGCTTGATTGGGCTCAGTATCATAATGGTACCAGTGGGCTCTGATTGGGCTCAGGCAAATCCCTTCCCTACTGTGAATCCATAGGAAATGTTAAAGCAGACCTGTACTAAACGGAGAAATGGGAAGAGATATTAGTATATCACCTATCCATAGTGGATATGCGTCCAGGTTCATTCCAGACAGTATCCCAATACCTGAAGTGCATTGCATTGAATTAAACAATATTAGGTTAATCTGGGATCAGCTAATCAGAACACTTGCATGCTAGTTAAAATGTAGTATTTGGATAAGCTTCGGATTTGTTCTTTTAAAGCCCATTTGGGGCTGAAAGTGTTGTGGCAACTCTTATCAAATGCTTAAAGCACTTTCTTGCACAATTTTGTTTTTCACAGCTCAAAGTTCAAAAGCAAAAGCTTATCCAAACATCATGGATACAGTAGTAGTTTAGAATGTAATGTGAAAAACAGCCAATTCCAGCACAGAATGCAAAAGAAAATTGGACTCATTAAGGACTTCAGGGAAAAATAACGTCAAGGCTATTTAAATATGCACCTAAGGTTCCATTTGGAAGGAGTACAAATACAAATATGTAGAATGCAAAATCTTGTATTTTGTATTATTTTGTATAGATTTGTTCTGTACATATTTTGTATTTGTACTCCTTCCAAACTGAGCCTTGGAAGGAGTATAAATACAAATATGTAGAGTGCAAAATCTTGTATTTTATATTATTTCGTATATATTTGTATTTGTATTCCTTCCAAACTGAGGCTCAGTTCGAAAAGAATACAAATACAAATATGTATGGTACAAATATATACAAAATATAAGATTTTACACTCTACATATTTGTATTTGTACTCCTTCCAAACTGAGCCTAAACCACATACCCTCTATTTTCTTCCTCATTAAGAACTTCAAGTAAATTATCTAGGCTGCTGTACTGTATTGCAGTGACAATCCCGCCGGGAACCGATATGGTGACTCGGAGAAGGCCGTTATCCATCACCACCTGCAAATCAATGGCTTCAGCTGTTTGATTCTCAATACCAAATAGGCTTATGTACCAAACATAATATATACCAAATAGGCAAATATAGTGGCCTCATTTTAATTTCTTTTCAGTTTCTTTAAATCACTGTTTTCAAAACCGGATCAGACCGGACGGTCGGACCAGAAAAACCGGAAATCGGTCACCTGATCAGTTCCGTTTTCCTCCAAAACCACTTTTTCCCTTAAAACCATTGATTTTGGTCAGTAAACTGTTGAACCATCTGGTTAACCGTTCAAACCGTTTGAACAATTTTGACTGTTTTCCAATTTTTTAATTTTTTTTGTCAGAATGGGCCAGACTTTCGGGTTGAACGGTCAGACCGTTTGAACCGGTAACCGGACCCCTGACCAGTTCAGTCACCAGTTCGTTTTTAAAAACTATGCTTTTAATCATTCACTAAGCTGTGTTTGCTTTGAAAGAGAAGGTAGGGAACGGTAGAGAAACCTGTACAAGGTTTGTATAGGTTTCCTACCATTCCCTACTTTTTCTTTAAATTAAAAAACCAAACACAGCATAATGGAGAGAGTTTAGAACTTAGATAAATGAAATCATTTGGCTCTATTTGTTTGTTTGTGAAAAGTAAAATAGGAAGTAAAATGGTGTGCTTCTACCTTATATGCAATTGAATGGAGGTTAGGAAGGGGGTTATTTTTTTGGTGGTGAGGTAGGAAGCGAGATGATGTGATTCCTACTTTATATGAGAGAGAATTGTGGTAGGAGGAAGGTGTTACATATTTTGCACCAATTTTCAAAATACAAAGTTTATCCTATAAATAAAAACAAATGAGACAACAAGTACAAACTTCGTATCAGATAGGAGTGCAAATCAAGATTACATACGAACAAGTGCAAAACTGAACCGGGTGCAAAAATTTGTATCTGATTCAGATTTGCACTGTAATGAAAGGCAGCCTAACGATTAAATTGGTAGAAACAAAATGCATGAAATAGAATAGTAAACCGATTGATACATGACGATTATGTATGTAATGCAATTGAAGAGACAAATTTGATCCTTCTTTCTTTATCCTTCCTCGGTGCGGTCTGTCAAGAATCAAACAAAAAAAAAAAAGCTATTAAACTAATTAGAAATTTAAATTGAAAAAATAAAACATATTCTTCTATGACTATAAGTTAAGCAATGAAAAGATAACTTGTACATAGTGGGAATCACATATATGGGTGGGCCCACGGCCCACCAAGGTATTTTAGCCAGATTTCGTGTTTCAACTGGGATGGTCCTGGGCTTGGGCCTATTCAAATCCATGCCCTATGCTAGTTGCCACTTGCCAGGCCCCTTACGTTCATAGAATCAGAGATGATAAAACTCTACAAGGTCGAGGAGAATGAAATTTGAAAAACAACCTAGCAGTAGTCTTCATAGAACACTCGGAAAGCAAAAGCAAGAGAACTATCAATTCCAAGCAAAATTGCTTATGTCGCCTTAGAAATGTCTTCTCCATGCAGACAACCTAGGAAAGTGAAGCATTAGACTTCTTCGTTCTTCCTGCAGGATACGAGTATACTTGAAGAATAAATCAAAATGACGAAGTAAAAGTAAAAGAAAGAAAAAAGATTCAAACATAGAAAGAAGTTTATCAATTGGCCTGGATTGTTTGCGTGTGATTTCATTTGTATTTTGCTTTTGCCTTATTTTATTTGTTAGCATTGCATATGAAGCAAAATAAAATGAAGGATTAAAATTTTGCAACGTATCGACTCCTGAACCATTTTGACAAAATAAATAAAAGCGGTCAAAGATACAGGAAGTGAATCAGAATTTGCATTCTTGCCCTCTCATCCATTTATATTAGTTCAAATCAAATTGTATTGCAAACAAATGGAGCTCTGAATAACTCGGAAAACTGAATCAAACAAACATGATATAATAATGCCTGTTAGAAATTAACAGCTCCGGAGATAGATTTCAATGAGGAAAGCACATCTATTACCTTCAGAACTGAAATAATAGTAAATAGTAAATAGAAATAGGAACTCCTATAACCGAGTACAACCAAACAGATGAACTCTAGCATTAATTAGAGAACTTTGTGCTAGAGCTAAAGGACTACTACTGAACGTTTTAATTTGTTGAGTCAGTAGCAAATACCTTAGACAGGCGTGACTCTAGCTCACAGATTGGACGAACAACGTAACCGATTGCAGATAACAGTTGGGCGGCTCAAACAAGAGCTAGACGACGCTGCCGCCCAAAACCACTAGACAATGGTGGCTTTTTCTGCATGCGCTGATAGCTACCTTAATTAGGAGAGAAACGGTTGGTGGTGAGGACTGAGGAACTTTCCATTTGTACTGCTTGGGGTTGGGGGGAAGGGGGGGCGGTGCCTCTACCTATAACCAAGCTATAAACTATTCTTGGGTTGTCTTTTGGGGTCGCATTAACGTGTGCTTATTGGACGGACAAGGAGTTAATGGAGCGTTAAAGCAGAAATTCAGGGTTCATGGAATCAGTGTGTGTTTTTGGGTGTCATATGCAGCAGTGTAAAGGCATTTAAAATAGGGAATAAGAGTTTACATCTGCGCCCGATAGAGCGCGCCCCACAAATGCCCCACATGCATATTTGGGAACTTCTCCGGTACTTGTTAATGGAAGTAGGAATGGCAACGGGGCTGGGTGGAGATGGGGAGCCTCTCCCCATTCCCCTTCCCGCAAAATTCCCCCTTCCTGTCCTCTCTAATAGGGACAAGGCTATCCCCATCCCCGTGTCCCCACGGGGATCCCCATCCTGTGGGGATCTCCATTTTCCGTGATTTTTTATAATGTTAATCATTTTGTTTTTGTTTTTATTTTATTTAAAAAAATAAAAAAAATAATTAAAATTTATGATCCTATTATTAATATATAGATGTATGTGTGTATATGTACATATATAACATATGAATACATATATACATATATATTAGTGGGGATCCCACGGGGTGAGGATCGGGGTCCCTGCGGGGTGGGGAGTGCTCTCCTCTTCCCCGCTAGTGGGGATAAAAATTTCCCCATCCCCATCCCCATCCCCGCTCCATTTGGGGTGGATCCCCACGGTGATTGGAGAAATGGAGAAAATTGCCATCCCTGAATGGGAAATGTTTCCAATACACGGTTGGGATGTGCTATGGGGCATTTGTGGGGCATAGATGTGGATTTTTAAAATAAGGGCAATTTGCTAAGATCTTCTTAAAGTTTTTGACCATTGTCGAAACCTCCCTAAAGTTTAGTAACTACTATTACCTCCCTTGATAAATTTTCTAACACAGTTGCAATAGACCCCACTCTCTTATAAACCTCTAACAAGAGTCATGGAAATATCGTATACCTCTTTGGGTCTCTTTTCCAAAATTGATTTATTTTTCATATTTGTCCTTCATATCAATCACTCAAAGGTAAAGCCGCAACTTTATTAAACTCTCTTATTTTTTGTTTTACATAAAGTTTGTATTGTTTGTTATTTTTTTTATTTTTTATAAAAACCAGTTTTAATAGTAGTTGTGTGCATATTTTAGACATTTTTGTACCGCTTATTATTGTTAGAGGATTCTAAAAGAAGGTAAAAAAATTTGGGGGAGGTGACTGCAATTACCAAACTGTAAGGAAGGTTTCAGAAACTGTCAAAAACTTCAGCAGAGGTTTAGCAATTTGACACAGGAAATGACTTAAAAAGTACGTGACTCTTGTCTTGTTCATAAAGGCTACAGTCTGGTCTACAGAGCCACCATATATGCTTTCAACCCATGAAATTTATAGTCCTGACATGAAGGAGAATAAGTGGGTAACTCTCAAACTCTTGTTGCCTCCGTCACAATGCAACAATATATTTTAAAATGTGAAGTCGGTCTGCTTCTGGGAAGCATGTGATGGAGGTGGAAAAGCAAAGCAAACAGCTTTTGTGCTCTGAAACTGAAACCTTTTCTTTCTCCATTGCAATTGTTGTGGTATACACATGCTTAATGGTTTTCTTTTAGCACCCATAGAGCAAGAGGTTCCAATGAATCTCTGTCCAACTTTTCGCTTTATAAATTGTTTATTTATTTGACCTTTCACCAAGCATTTAGTGGGCATTTGTAACTTCAAAACTAGAGTATATTCTCTCTTAGTCATAACTAGTTCTGAGAATGCGCATCACTACATACAATATTAAGATCATATATAATATTGTCCTTTTCATTAAATTAATTTACATTTAATTGGCTTTTAATTCTATATAAAAAATTAAAGATCATTTGCATGGGATTGTAAAATCCAATATGGATTCAAAATTTTCTTTAAAATCTAGAAAGCGAAATCCCACAAAATCTGGATAACTGGGATCTAGTCATTAAGACAAAACTGGCCATTAAAATCTCATAATTTGATATTCCATAAGCCAGGCTAATAGAATTAATTATAATCCCTCAAAAGAATAGAAATTAATGTTTGGGGAATGCTAGAGTTTGACTTTCATACTTTTATAGAGTATGCAGCCTGGACTTGAGATCTCCCTCTCACAAGAATTCTATCCACGTCTACCCATAAAATACTATTTATGTGCAATGGGAATGTTTTTCCGTACGTAATAACATGTAAGAGGATGAGATGTTTCCCATGTGTGGATGTGACGTTATGTGGGTAGGTGTGGGTAGTGTTGTCATGGGCAGGAGTAGAAAATCCAGACTCTCTACATAGAGCTCTGGCTGTAGTGACGTAAGGCTATCCATTGAGGGGCCGGGGATACAATGGCGGAGTGTTTTTTTGGGAAACTAGTTTCAAGTTTATTTTTGAGATTTTCTTGTAGATCAAGAAGATAGTTTTGAACTTTATAAATCATCGTCCATGCCTTATCCCAACTATATGGGGTCCGTTACATGAATCCTGTTTTGTTACGCCATCACCCATGTCATATATTTTTGGGGGGTTAGAACTTGGAACCATTAAGGCTTCTCACTCATGTGACCCTTAAGGTTGCCCTATAAGATGTGATTATGTGAAAGATTTAGACTGTGTTTGGTTTGAAAGAAATGGTAAGAAAAGGAAAGGAAAAGTAGGGATACCAAGGTTTCCCTCCCAAACATAGACTTAATGGTTTTACATATGTAAGAGAGACTTCAACTCCCCCCATCTGGTTTGGTAGAATGTCTTGTTGTCTTCTTTTGTATTTCATGCTTTTTTTTCAATTTGTTATTTACTTTATTTATTACCATAAAAAAACTGCATAGAAGATATGAATGTTAAATCTCCTTGCCTTGGGACTGATGTCATATTCTCATTTTCATCTTTCTTAATCACCCTTCTTTTGTTTGCATCATAATGTGAATTTATGATATAAGTTGGCTATACACAAGTAAGGGTGTCAATGGACCGGTTTTGGATTGGACGGGTCCAATCCAAAATCAATTTGGATGGATTGGACGGATCATCAAGGCATATTGGGTTGGACCTGGTCCGTCCGTAACAAATTTATATTGGATTGGGTTGGATTAAGTCAATATCTGGTTCATTGATATAAAATAAGAATATATGTATCAATGGGCCGGATTTGAGTTGAAACCAATTTAAATCAAAATGAATTTAAATAGATTGGACGATCCAAACATTGAATTGGATCGGTCCAATTTGGTCCAAAACATTCATTGGATTGGACCTGATCCATTTATAATGGACTCACATTGAACTGTATTTGCATTGGACTGAATCGGGTTGAACCAAATACAGTCCAATTGACACCCCTATAAACAAGTAGCTTGACTGAATTTGTGAACAGAATAAAAAGAAAATGAGAGAAAGAGAGAGGGAGAGAGGTGGTATCCTATATCTAATATAAAATTCATAGCTTTAATTGTATTGCCTGCAGTGAGAAAATTATATATATAAACTGCACTATCACAGCAGCATATGTTACTAAGAACAGTATTATAACAAATAACATGCCGATTTTAACTGTAAGGCTTACTGCAAATTTCTAAATAACATATAACCATAAGAACTGTTCTGCTGAAGACAACCTTGGTTTTACTTGTGAGGATCGGAGGTAGAAGGCCCCTCCAATCGGATATAGTCATACATTAGCCCCTGGAAAGGACTGGAGCTTCTTGACTGGGTCAGGAAAATGGTGTTGTCTCCTTCCACAAGTCGGGTGCTTGGTACATCCACATTGTACAGCCTATAAAGTCCATGTATGCCATGTCGTGCAATCGAGTTGTCCTTCCCTATAAGCCCCGTTGTAAAGTGAGGGGGATTTGCTTTTGGATCATTGAATCGAACCTCAACACATGATCCATAAATTCAATTAGTCCATACTGAAGTGCAAGGAATGATCAATAAATTTTACTATGAGATTTGAATATATAGGAGATTGGATTAAGGTGGTGTTTGATTGCACTTTTGAGATGTTTGAGATTTAAAAACGTTGCTTTTCAGACACCACCTTCGTTTGGTATGCCCTCTTATTACTAGATCTGAAATCCAATTTCAGATTTTAATTCCTAAGAGGTGGAGTGGGTCCTTAATGCAGTCAAATGCAATTCAAAGGTGTGTAAAAGGCATTAGTGTCCTCAAAGAAATTTAAATATGACATGGTTTGCCCTTCACATAAGCTCGAAAATTAGGTCATTCGAACCTTCACTACGACCTAAATGAAACTCTAGTTGTAGCGGTGGTTCTCTCTCTCTCTCTCTCTCTCTCTCTCTCTCTCTATCTATCTATCTATCTTCTCGTCACCGCCGCTGGAACTTGCAGCGGCAACGGTTCTCTCTCTCTCTCTCTCCGCCTTGTCTTCTTGCCACCGTCGCTGTAGAGCTTGCAGCAACGGCGGTTCCCTCTCTTTCTCTCTCTCTCTCTATCTCTCTCTCCCTGTCTTCCTGTCACTGCCACTTGCAATGACGGTGGTTCTCTCTCTCTCTCCCTGTCTTCCCGTCACTACCACTTGCAACAACGGTGGTTCTCTCTCTCTCTCTCTTTCTCTCTCTTCCCCTTATCTTCCTGCCATCGCCACCGCCGCTACAAGTTGCAATGGCAGTTCAGTGAGTAATAATAATAATTATTAATTATAAATTATCTTTATTAATTATTAATTATTTTAATATTTTTTATTAATCATTAATTATTTTTTATTAATTTTACTTGTGTTATTTATTAATTATTAATTATTTTTATTAACTAGTAATTTTTAATTATCTCATTAATTTTTAAAAATTATTTAATTTTTATATGTGTAAATTATTAATTATAAATTATAAATTATAAATTATTTTAATAATTTTATAGTCATTAATTATTTTTTTAATTTTAATCATTTCATTTATTAATTAGTAATTTTTAATTATTAATTTATTATTTTTTATTTGTATTGTTTCAATATTATTTTGAGGTTAAAAATTATTTTTTATGAAATAATGCAAATTGAATTCAACATTTCCAAATAGTATGTTCTAGGGGTAAAATAGTAAAATCAGTGATATTCAAATGGTAAAGGATTGATGAACACAAACAAACTTGTGGATTCAGAGCCTCTAAAATGTAGAAAAGCACCAATGCTTCTTTTCAGATTTTAGACAAAAAAAAATCTTTTTAACTTTTCAGATATGAAATTTCAAATTTATCAAACACCACCTAAGATCATTTTAAAGATTTGATATATGAAAACAGAATGTCTGCTTTTCATGTTTGTAATATTTAAATAAGGAGAGTATTTTAGTCATTATGAGCCATCTATTGCATTTGTTCCACAAATGGGCCACCTCTTATCAAATGAGAAGGCCGGTATGGTTTGGATGTTAACCCAAACAAGATCCAACCTCTGAAAAGCAAGTTTTTAAGATATCAGACCCCATTTCAATGTTATCAAATGCCACTATATCTCCCATTCAGATCGAGATTGGAATTGGGGGTGTAATTGAGCTGAGCTAGGTTGAATATTGGGTTACTCAAGTTTGACTAGATTCAAAAGCTTAGGGGGTATTCTGTAGTGTGGATGAGAAATTGGTGGATGTGGATCGACCCACACCACACCCTATGGCAGAGACCAATCCACACCACACCACACCACACCACACCATAGAGTCGTTCTCTAGGTGTTCCACACCAATCTTTTTGATTCCATGTATCTCATATTCTGTAGTGTGGATGAGAAATTGGTGGATGTGGATCGACCCACACCACACCCTATGGCAGAGACCAATCCACACCACACCACACCACACCATAGTTCAAAATCGTTCTCTAGGTGTTCCACACCAATCTTTTTGATTCCATGTATCTCATATACATTTTGTGAATGATCTACATAGTCGATCATAAATGTTTAATTTTTGCATTTTATATGATAAATAAATTGAAAAAAAGGCATTGATAAATTAATATTAACCAATAAATATTAATTTTAATAAAAAGGTAGTAAAATAATTAAAAAAATATTATTTTATTGATAAAATATTAAAAAATATTTAAATAAATGAAAAAAAAGTGAAAAAGGAAAACCGCCAACTTGTGCTAGAATTAACATTAAAAATTATTATTTTATTGATAAAATATTTAAAAATTAAAATCTAAAACTTATTATTTCAAAATTTAAAATTTAAAATGAAAGAAAAATATGTAAAAGAGATGTATCGTATCAAAATAGAGTGTAGAAATGTTGTGGACTGGCCACATCCACGAGATATATGTATGGCCAAGATTTTGGGATGTGGATGGAAACGATCCACGATATATTGTGGACCGTCCCCATCCACAACCAACTGAACACGGTGGCTATCTTGTAGCATAGACCAAAATGGGCCCTCCACGAGATGACCACGAAACCAAACACCACATTAGAGCTTAAACTTTGCTTGAACTTAACTAGGTAACAAGTTTCCTACTCTGAACTAAACTTGACTCAATACTCGCAACCTCCTTGAGACAATTAAAAATAAATTAATATTAAAAACATTATAAATATTATTGATATTATAAATAAAAAATATATTAAAATTAATATTTTATTATAAGTTTGATTAAACTTGCAAGTTGCTCAAGCCTTATACTGTGAAACTTGAACTCGTCTCACTAACTACTTGACATGACTTGAGCTTGACTCGAACTCAATTGAATCTATTTCTAGTATTTAGCAAGCCGAACTCCAATAGTTGGCAAATAACTTGGATCATAATGGTATTGGTTTATTTAGTATACCTGTAACTCAGAAAACGTGGCTGATGCAAGTGCCACTCGCATTTTATAGGTTCCACCTTGGCTCACACTATCAAGTTTGAAAATAATTTGCCAAGTAGTTGCCTGGTATCCATCTTCTTTCTTCCTACAACACAACAAAAAATTAAGAAATAGCAAAAAGCATGGTTTTCAAAATCGGATCGGACTGGATAATCAGACCAGAAAAATCAAGAATTGATCAGGTGATCGAGTCCATTTTACCCCAGAACTGTTATTTTTCCAGAAACCATTGATTTGGTCAGCAAACCGTTAATCCGGGTGGTTGAACCATTCGAATTGTTCAAACCATCCGGACCATCCAACCGTTTTGACCACTTTTATTTTTTAAAGTTTTTTATAATTTATTTTTTAAATTTTTGTCAGAATGGGCTGTCTGTTCAGTTCAAACAGTTGGACCGTTCGACCCAGAAACCGGACCCCTGATCGGTTCATTGTCCGATTCAATTTTAAAAACCTTGGCAAAAAGAAACAAATTGTGATTGGGGTCAGAGGAACTAATTAGCATCACCTAGTAACTTGAGCAAAGAACCAATCTTTCCTATAATCATTAACGCCAACCCTGAAGATCAGATCTCCTTCTGGATACAATTCCACATACCGCTCCCACAATCCATACTGCCTAAACCTGTCACCCAAATTCAATTCAAAGGTTAATACCACAAATGAATACTTGATGGGGATGAATAAACACAAACAGAATGTGAGCAATCCAAGTCTTCAGTAATGGAGAAAATGGGGGCTCACTTGTCTGGATGATTGACGTAAAGTTTGTTCACATAGTTCGGATTAGGTTCTGGAACGTAGAACTCTGCAGCAGATCGATCAGGAATGCCTATCTCCCACAAGGTTGGGCCATCTCTTGGAGGTTTGTATACGAGGTCACCCAGATCGATATCAGACCCTACTTTGTATATTTTAATCGAATTAAGTTATGAAGGCATGATCAAGCTATATAGATATAAGAAAATGGGAATCTCAAACCTGAAGTGATGGTGAGAACAACATCATATTTGTAGTCTCCTATGAAACCAGGAACCCATGCATACAGATTATAATCTCCCTCACGTACATCTCTGATGCTGAAATACCCATCTGCACCAGCTCTAGTCCAGAATTGGTAGCCCTAATGACAAGAGAAACATTTAGGCCTCATTCGTTTTTCGGTAAATTATGCAGTTACTTAAGTAAGTTTTTCCTGAAAAACACTTATCTGGGTAAGTGTATTTACCTATGTTATTTTATTTCTCATATAAATAAGGTAATGACCATTTTATCCATAAAAATCCATTATCAAAAGGGGCAGTTTTGTTCTCATTCAAGTGCTGGCAATTTTCTCCTTAGGTGGGAACGTTATTTACCCACTTAAGAGATGGGTATCGCTTACCTGGGTAAATGATACCCAGGAAAATAAACTTTCCCTGATCCCTACATAAATCTGAAAAAAAAAAACATGAAATTCTTGGTCAATGAGAACCAAAATCCCATTGACCAACTTAATGCTTATGAAGATACGTCGATCATATAAAAAGAGTAGAGTTTCATAAGGAAAGTGATGGAATATTACCTTGCATTCTCTCTGCCATGATCCGACCTCTCCAGGCAAAGCCAAACCTACATAAGCAGACTCTGCAACTATGTCATCTTCACCCGCATACCTACACAAGTAGAATAGTGCGGTGAACAAATTAGATGGGATCAAATTTATAGGTAGAGTTGGAAAAATGAAAGAGGGTCGATCTCATCTGGTACCTGTCACGGACAAATAGTCTACCTCTAACAGTTCCTCGTTGTCCTGAAGAAGGGAAATCCTCTGAAGTTGGGAAACTGTATGGCCAGCTTTGGACTTCCATCAGCATCTACACAAATATATTGCATTAGCTTGTTTATCCTTCAAACATAAACATTTAAATGATGTCTGGGATAAACTATGGTGTCGTTTGATAAGTCGTTTTAGAAAGATCTTCCAGCAGCTTATGTGGTTAAGTGTCATATTAATCTTTAATTTGGGGTCTAACTTGTCTTTTAAATGTCACATCTTTTTGTCTTGCCAGCTTTTGATTACCAAATGAAAAAAAGACTGGAAATGCAACCTGTGTTTTTGCATCATCCCAGAGAGACAGTGGATCCTCTCCATTGAAGACTGAATTGAGATAAATAAAAACAGGCCCAAAAACCTTCTTCCACGCCTCTCCCTGTTGGAATTTTGGCACCAGATCCTGTCCAGTGTAATGAGAACTAAGAAACACCTGCAAATAGCAAATTGATTATGATAATCATCATAGCGAGTGTGAAGCAGAAAAGAATCTTAGACTTATTAGAGGGGTAAATTACAGATAATTCTGTACTTTAGGGTAATGACAGATAGGTACCCTGATCTTTCAATTACAATATTTGAGTACCCTGAACTCTCAAAAATAGACACTTAAATCCATCCGTCAGCTAAACATTACATAATACCAAAAATACTCTTCTTATGTATTTCTGAGATCATTCTTAGGTAATCGACAACATTCTCTAGTGCTGATTTTATTCCATAAAATGATTTTAAAAATACACGAGAAGGGTATTTTTAATATTATGTAATATTTAAGTGACGGAATACTAACAAGTGGACCTAAATATCTCTTTTTTAAAAATTCAGGATACTCAAATATTGCAATTGAAAGTTTAGAGTACCCATCCGTCACTATCCTTACTCTTTTTTGGTAGAAATAATTTATCCTTACTAGAGTAATAAAATACTTACAGCAAGGGTAGTAGGACCCACATGAGATGTGAGATTCTGCTTTAGCGGCCCACCTGTTCTGAACTCATCACTTGGTGTGATCTGCCAGAAGCCCACTGGAGGATCAAAGCATATCCATCCATGGACCTTGTTATCCTTGTCCTCACATGAATACTGGTACTTGTCATCCACCTGTAGCATGCTTACACCATTACAATGAATAAGAGAGAGAGAGAGAGAAAGAGAGAGATAACCTCTCCTTTGAGTTGTGGTTCTATTGGATTTGTTAAGAGAACTGCTTCGGGGTAGGCTAGGGGTTGGCATCGTCCTCGTAAACGGTCGTCTGGGTGAGGCATGAACCTTTGCCTATTGTCTGCCATCGCCATATAATGGAACCTGCATACCATGTGTCGAGTTGTTACTGGTTACCAATTGGTGGTCATTGTGCTGGGCTTGTGTGTAAGTTATAAACCCAATGGGCCTCTACAGGTGGGCTACCTGGCCTTGTGTGTTTAGGCTGTGTTTGATTGTAGTGCAAATTTATTTGTATTAATACAAATGCATGGGAGTGCAAATGTAAAAAATGTAAATTTTTATTTTGGATTTTATTTTATTCTACTTTATGTCTTAATTTACTTAATTTGTACTATAATAAAACAAAATAAGCTAAAATTTGAAATTAAAATAAGTCAGAATTTACACTCAAAGCATTTGCACTGCCATGGGTTTGCATCAGTATAAATTTATTTGCATTGCAACCATTCACAGCTTTAAGGACAAATCTCAGCACAGTCCAAATCCAGCCCATTAACATCATTAGAAAAGAGGAGATCAGGAGACAAGGATAAACAACCAGGTTAAGAGGGAAATAGGTGTGCATTAATTGCTCACTTGTCTTTTCTAAGCTTGAAAGCAATCCTGGTTTCGCCTAAGCTGAACTCAGGCCATTCTTTCAAGTGTTCATAAATGGCATAAGAGTAGAAGCCAGAGCAACCGCGCAACATTATAAACCTGCAAAAATTTGAAATACAAAAATTGTTGTTACTTTTGCCAGTAATACCATTAACCATTGATTTTCAGAATGAGGATAGTATTTGAGAACATAGTCATAAACCTTTTATCTATGTTCAGAGGGATGATTTTATCCTGGAGCGACGGATCCCATGTTCTTGTGAAGGAGAGCTCCACTTGGTCCTCATCTTGCTTTACAACCCTAAAACTTGTCCCCTTTATCCTGTAGAAGAATCAAGCAATCTTTAGATGTCTGTTTGGTTACAAAGAACCACAGTTGATAAATTCTTTAGTTTTAGGTTGAAATGGTTATGGACTTTTTGATATTTAGTCTTAAAATAATGGTAAATAGGTCCATAAAAGAATATTAAAATCTTAATAGAAAAAATTGCATTCAGAAATTTCACAAATATGAGATTTTACCTTATACTAAAACTTAATTAATTATAATGTGGGTGATAAGAATCAAATGCTAAACCACTTGGAGAAAGTGGCTTTGATACCAACTCAAATAACCATTCAACCTAAAAGCTAGGAATGGGATTGAGATTTCTAGCCCCATTGGAGTATTAGGGCGGGGGTGGGTTTTCTGTGTTTGGGGTTGAGAATGGGGCATGCAAAACCTAGCCCTGTTCCACTCCGTTACCATTCCTAGCTGCTCGTTTTGCCTTTGGATGGGCCGCAGGACCGACCAACAAACAATATGACCCAATCAAACTGGGTGCCATGTGGCCCATGGTTTCACATAAGTATTTTATCTTTTAGTTGGGTTTGGTCTTGATTCAGACTTCACAGAGACAAAGGTACAACCCAAACCCACCCTAGATAGCCAGGTCGAAGCTTCAATCATGTACAGAAACACACATTCATACAAAGTAAGAATCACTTGGGTTGAATCAGTACTAATCCTACCATGAACCTAGACTCTGTAAATCAAGTAACTTATCAGCTGCTCTAGGTTTGGTCTAGACAAGTCAGATTTGTAGCCATGGATGTTGGTAATCTCTATATTGTTTTTCCTTTTGTTCCTTTTTGTTATATATTGATTGATCTCATTATTCCTTTTATATTTATCAGAGATAGAGAGTGAAATAGAACTCGGGGGAGGGGTGTGAGGACTTACACATCAAATTTTCCGGAAACATTTGCTCCGTTCCAAACAACATCCCAGTACCTATGCAAGTATGGATTCAATTTATAGCAAGTCAATTAAATGATTCATTTCATTTTCATAAACATTTATATAACAAAATCATGGGTTTCTAGCAAAAGTCCAATTGTTGTAATTTTCCCACTCGAATGAAGTAAATATTCAACTGGATTTCAATATATATTATGAGGTGTTCAGAACACTAAATTTGTATGTAACAATGTATACAAAGAAAACTTGACAGTTTTAAAATTTGATGAGCCAACTAGAAATTTGGCTGAGTTGATCACTCAAAAATTAAAAAATTCAAACCCAACCACTCGGAATACTATTAATATATATATATATGTAACTTTTACATATTAAACATATATTAACTGGAGTTATAAGAATCAATGATCAAGATATCCATATGATACACCCCGTTGCAGTGGACCCTGAAATGCATGGATACACTGATACAAAAGAAAAAATGAAAAAATAGAGAATATCGTTTTGATGCTTATTGATAAGTTGGTAAATGGTAATCTGGGTCTTGTGAAATAGCTGATTGAAGCTGAGCTAGGGGCAGTTCTTGAAGCACTCTCTTGTGCTAAGGATCAAGGATGAAAATGCTTAGTAGTATTTGACTTTTTTTTTTATACTTAAAAGATTGTGATTAGACCTGTTCACGGACCAAGTTTTGTCTCTATATTAATAGAACATTCAGGCTGGAGCCCGATCTCAAGTAGAAATTTAGAAACAGATTTTTTTCATTCAATAAAAGTGTTTATTTATATTAAAATCCCCCAAAACAAAAAATAATAAAAGATCTCACTATTACATAAAAAAGAGGAGAAACAAAGAAAAAATAATGTATATATTTTTATTAGTAAAATATTTTTTTATTATATAATATATATTATCAAGTCGGATTTGGACTCGACCAGAGAGAAAACCGGAGCCTGGATCGAAAATAGGTTGGGCCTTGTGTTTTAAGCCTAAGCCCGAGCCCGTGGGCCTAAAGTCATGTCCAAGCCCTATTTAGAAGGCTGAGCTACTCGGTCCATGAACAGGTCTAATTGTAATTAATACTCTTCGGTGTAGGAAGTGCAAGGTACATGTGAAAATTGCCCTTTCAATTCTTAAATCTCCCTAAGTGTCATTGATTTCAAATTCATTTATTTTTTCTCTCAATTTTCCAAATTCATCCTGTCCCAAACCCGTCATCACATAAGTGAAACGTGATGTCCCTATTAAACAGAAATGGTGTGGTAGGCTAGTGGTGAAGACACCTATAATGGGATAGAGAAAAGAAAAATGATTTCAATCTCTCTTAACCCTTTTTGCTCTATATATTATTACTTTTACAACATACAATATACATTTATTAGGCTTGAATATGATACAAAAAGAACTTATAACCAATCAACTATTTTTATTAAAGTGATAATAAATTAGATATTTTTATTAAAATTCACGATGATTTTTGATTGGTCAAAGCTCTTTCAATATTATGTCTTTCTGACATTATAGGTTTTCTCATACTTAATAGTATATATACAAGTTTGTAATCAGGTAATAGGAATAGGTACTTAAGTTAAATATAATCGGGTTCAGGTATTGAGTACCATAAGGACAAAACCCAAACCTTATAGGGTTTGATTGATGGGTCCTATTAGGGTCAAGACAGATTGAGTATCCAAAAATTCTCACAAAATAATAATAATAAGGAAATTAACTTTAATATTACAAGCAATATAATTCAATCCATAGACTACCTCAAGGGCCCAGACTGTTACTCTAATTGAGAAGAAATGCCAGATTAAACTCCCGAGATAAATAAAAGTGAAAAAGGAAGAAGCAAACATAGATAAGTAGAACTATATACCCTCTGTTATCTTCTTCGTTATGAACTTCAAGTAAATTGTCAATGCCATTGTATCGTATTCCAGTAACAATTCCCTCAGGATTTGATAGGGTGACTTGGAGGATTCCATTGTCCATCACCACCTACAAAATTGATGTCCCAACAATGTGAACAAACCTATTCGATGAAAATCCCCAATAAAATCATCTAGGCAATAAAGAGAAGATTAAGTACATGTCGATCTTGTATTTGCAGTTGCACCGCGATTGGTGCCATTATTTTGGGATCCTTGCTTGATAGCTAGCTCTGTTAACTCGGCTTTCCACAGTTCTATTTGCCATAAATCGGCAATTTCAATATATATACAAGTTCTTAAAGCTTTTCTGCTTCCTTAGAAAAATTAAAAACTAGGTGACCTCCAATAGAAGAGATTCTTAACTTCTGAAAAAAGGAAATTTCGGATTGACCGACCACCTTTCAAAGAAAACTTTCTATATCTAATTCTAAGTAGCCAAATTTTCAAGCCTTATAAACCAAGCGCTGTCTCTCCCCTCGCTCAAGCTTCAACCTTCACCCTTGCTTTGCCGACATTCTTACTCCGTCTACACACATTCTCTCTCTATCTCTAAGCTTATCCCTTTACTTAGTCGCCATTCCTTTCTCCACTTATCTCCTGTAGTGCTGTGGCGGTAGTTAATAATGGGAGTTATCCAAGAATGACCAAGTCAACTGTCGGTTCTTTATCATCATTAGTGATCGAAGGATTTTTTTGAGCCTATAGATTGAGTTTATGAAAAAAAAAAAAAAAAACACGGAGGGGAAGTTAGGCTCTGTATCTGTTTACCGTGTAAATCTGAATCAGATACATATTTTGAATCCTGTTCGGTTTTGTATCTGTTTGGTTGTAACTATGATTTGCACTCTTTAACGGATGAAATTTGCAGCTTTTGTCTTATCTGCACTCATTGACAGTATAAATTTTGCTCCCAAAGTGATACAGAATTTGCATTACCTTCCTCCTACCTGACTACCTATATTTTCTCTCAAATGAAGTGGGACCAAATCACCTTGCTTCTTACCCATTCAAAAACAAATGACCCTCTTTCTATATATTTTATTTCTCACAACAAAGAAAATAAAGCCAAATTTGATATCGGATTCGGTTCACCCCTGGTCTGATCTTCGAATCGGATCGAATCCTATGATCCGATCAGAAATCAGATTGGATTCGGATCACCACTATCCGATCCAATGTGTTATATATTTATATATATATATGTTAGTTATTTATTTATAAATATATTATTTATATTGTATTTTTATAAATTTGTTATAATATTTATTTTTTATAAAAACATATATATATGATGAAAATAATAAAAAAGTACTTGTATTTTTGTTTTCTCTTTATTTAAATTGGTATATATTTTTTCAATAATTTATTATTTTTTAAAGTAAACAAGTCAGATTAAATCATATATGAAGATCCGAAGATCCAATAGGATTCAAATCGAATTCTATCAGATCCAATCGGATCAGTTACGACATGAACAATATCGGATCAGATTCGAATATACCCTGATTTGAATTCGGTTCAATCCATTTGCATTCCTAGGCCCGAGCCCGGCCCAACTATATACATTTATACATTCATATGTTTGTATATATAAATGTTGCATACATATTTACATATATATATAAATATATGTATATATATTTGCATAAATACATTTATATATGTTTAATTTTAGAGTGGGTTCATTGACCAACCCAAACTCAAGGCTTGGGACCAAACCCAACCCAAGTGTATCAAATTATAGTGTGGGCTGGGTTCGAGTTGGGAACATCGGGCTTAGTCCGAGCTTGGGCCTTAAGCCCAAGTTTTAGGGTCGGGCCTGGGTTGACCATAAACCCAGCCCAACCCTCCCGACTTGCACCCCCTACATGCTATGAGTCTAGCACCAGAAGCTTGGGGTCCAATCACACCATTATATTGATTTTTTAGGTGTTTGGCATTGATGTCATTGCTTCAGAGATGTTTATGAGAAAACATTGTTGTATGCATGAGTGTCTGTTGCATCGTTTTCTCAGAAAATGACTTTTTTTTTTTTTATTATTTGGCATCGATGCTGCTATATAGGTTGTTTTCTGGGAAAACAACATTGATTTTGTTTAGTATCAGTGTTGTATAACCGTTTTAAGCATTGGTCTACATTATCCAATGCCTAAGATGATGAGCAAGGTTTAGCTGAATACTTTAGCTTTTTAGCAAGATGTGGAGCCAATGATAAGGTTCCATGCCAATATTTAAATACATGGGGCCCGCATCTTTATAGTGGGCCCCATGAATTTATTACTGGCGTGAAACCTCATCATTGGTTCCATAGCCTACTGAACAACTAAAGCGTTTAGTTAATCCGAATTCCAAGATAATGCCACATTGATGCCATGTTATTGCACCACTGCTAGCAACATGCCATTTACTGAGAAAATATTGAATTTGACATTTCTTCATCACTTTCTTGATTGGTGTGATTGGGAGCAACATTTTTTCTAGAAAAATGATACCAAATAAGAAACCGTTTTTTAAAACACCACTTTTTCTTACATGTACGACATGATGCCAAACACTGCCAATATTGTTACACTATGATATCACCCATGACATGGAGATACCGGCACTTAGATCAGCCTCTGCTTCAATAGGACTATAATTTTTTTTTTCTCATTTTGAAAAATATTCTTACTATGGGCCCACCAAATAAACCACATTAATGTCATCCCTTGAAGCAAAATGTTGTAATCACCCCGTAATTGTTCTCTCCAACGATCAGACCACCATTCTAACCATGGTTTTCAAAATTAGATCAGACCAGACGGTCGGACTGGAAAAATCGGTAACTGTTCAGCCCTTTATGTCTGATTATACTGTAAACCGTTAAATCCTAAAAAACCGTTGAAAATGTCAAAAAATCGCTAACCCGAGCGGTCGAACCGCTAAACTGTTCGACCCGGGAAGAGATTCACGGGTTACAAATTTCATTTTCATTGATTTAAAAAAAATAATAAAAACAAAAAAAAAGACTTAGGAATTAGGCCTTTAGGGTTAGAACGAAAGTCATTCATTTCCGTTCTAACCGTTCTAACAAAAAAAATTGCAGCAGCGGCCGGCAATTTTGTAGCGGCCAACCGCCGGCGACCACGGTGGAGTCACCGGTTCTAGGTAGAAATCCACAAGATTTGGCATGGCAACTGCCAGCGACCAAGATTTGGCATAGCATCTCCTTTGACCAAAGAAGAGAACAACGACACCTGCATTTTCAACCGAAGATTTGTAGTGGCCAACAGCCTTCGTGCACTTGAAGGCGATGACCAAGATTTGCAACGGCCAACTGCTAGCAAACAGTAGCACACTTGCATTTCTGAACAATCAACTGCCGGTGACCAAGATTTACAGCGGCAACCGGCGAACACAGTGGAAGGATTGCATTAGCCAGCTTGTATTGAGGCTTTCTTGCACCGACAACTACGTCTTGCTCCCAAATCTCTACGCATTAGTCATTCCCCCTTTTTGTAATATTGGGGATTTCTTACACGGACAACCACCTCTTGCTCCCAAATCTCTGCGCATTTGTAATCCCCCCCTTTTTGTAATATTGGGGCTTTCTTGCACCGACAACCACCTCCTGCTCCGACTAGCATGTATTGAGCGGCGGAAACTTCTACAACAGCCATTAAAGCCGAGAACGAATGCACTGGGTGACTGAACAATTGTGGAATCTCAATATCTCATCCTTTGTTTCTTGTATTTATTTAATTTTTATGATTTTTTATTATTTATAAATATTTTTTTGTTTTTTATTTTATTTATGATGTCACGGGTCAAATCGTTCGACTCAAACAGCTGAACCGATGAACCAGAAAACAGTGACAAGAACAGTTCTATTTCCGGGTCGATTTTCAAAATCATGACTCTAACACTCCATCACGAACACTTTTATCTGTAGCTGTTCCATCCTCAAATTTAGCACTAACCCAAACCATATGGGCCGGACTCCAGGACAACACAACAGAGTATGATCACTTGTTTTCTTCGCCTTACCACAAATACAACATGGGCCGGATTCCAGGACAATACAACAGAATATGATCAGTTGCTTTCTTCGCCTTACCACAAATACAACAGCTTTCACCCCACACATGGCACATTTGCAAGTTTTAACAAGTGGGTAAAGCCTGCATTATCTCCAGATGAAGGTGCTATTTGGTAAGTCTTTTTTGAAGGATCTTTTGGAAGATTTATTAATTAAAAAATATAGTGAGTTTTTACATAACGATTTTGATAGTTCGAAAATCATTTTGTTGGAAGTGTGTCTTTCAATACGAAGACAAAATGGAAAAAGGCAAAAAACTCTATTTTTAGTTTTTTGAAATAAGTTTAAATCAAAATTCTTATATTTTCTTGAAACAAATTTTCATTAAAAAAATCTTTTCTCAACCAAACAAAGAAAGACTAAAACACAACATATTGAACTTCTCGAATGAGGAATGTTGCCTAATAGTGGAAAGAATCCATGATAGCCTATCTATACCATGTCATAGTCTCATGGTCAATGAACTGGGCAACGCTACATACATTTGGTGAATGTAGCTACTGATTTGCGTGGCCCAGCATAGAAATCCAAGGATCACAAAATGCCAGAATACCCCATCCATCGCTAACAATCCACCTGCACCCCCATGTAACAAGGTCTCTTTGCTTATACCCCCTTACCTTCTGGCCCCACCCAAAATTACGATGTAGGGCACCTGTCTTATTACAAATATTCTTTAGTAAGAGGTTAGTTTGCATGTGGTGATGTGGTACAACAACATTGACTCGATGGTGGCTTTGATAAAAAAAACTTTAGCTGTTGGGTCCCACAGCCTATTCTATTGAGAGAATTTCTGGGAATGTCACGTTATCATGAGAATGAATAAATTAGTAATTACATATTAATTTAATTTTACAAAAAACCAAAGCATGGATATGAATAGATGAATTATCCATAAACTGTCTCAACAGTCTATATGCTATTGGGCCCCAACACCCAAAGTTAACCCAGTTTTGATAAATACACTTAAGCCAGCCTGTGATAGAACATTTACCTTCCAATCTTCAAGTCTACTTTTTAATCTTATCCAGTAAGAACTTCCACCCCAAGTTTTTATGTAGATTTTCAAATAACATGCCTCCGAGATAATTGTCTTGTTTGCTCATTAACTTCACCGCAGAGATTCTTGTATACAAGCTCGAATTGTATAAATGACTTTGATATTA